AACTTCTGCTTCCAGGTTAAAATGGACTGGCTCAGTGTACAGTATCTGGTAAACTTTTGTTGTTCAAACAAGAAGTTCAAAAGATTTTTTGACAAGCAAAAATTATGCAGTAAATTAAGATATCACCAGATATGTTGGATGTGGGGGTGTTGGTTAGTTTTATTTTGATGCATTTTCGATTTGGTTTGCTTTGCTTTGCTTTGCTTTTTTTCAGTATTCAGTTAGCTACATACTTGTCAGATTTTGCATTTTATTTCCTTCTGCTATGGATTAATTCTGACTTCAGTTATATAGGGTTGTGTATGTTGGAAAACACAGCCACTAAAATCAGAATCATTTTCATAATATAGGTAATTGTCGCAGTGCACTCAGCTGCCAGTCACCAGGGCTGCGCAGGTGCTGGTTGCCAGGGCAACCAGTAAAACCTGCTGACAGGAAGGGGCAAGGCTTAGCCCTTCTTAAGCCCAGGCAGGAGGCCAGGAGAGCAGCTCCTCTCCGGCAGCCGTGGGAGTAGGAACTCGGCTAGGACAGATGGAGGGGAGAACTCTGGCAGTGTGAACTTCCCCCAGTTGCTGCTGGAGTTGGGGAGCTCTCCCTCCCTCTCTCTCTCTCACTCTCTAGTAGGGAGTGAATCTGGTTTGACCGGATGGTCTAGTTTTTATGTTGTAGCCCAGGGGCTTTGTGTTCTTATGTTCACTATTTTGACAGGAAGACTGGGTGAGGCTATTAGGGGTTGGAGGAGGCCTCATAGGGACTCCCCAGTAGCGTGGGGGTTCCTGGAGCCGGAGAGGGCGCAGCATTTGCAGGGTGCATTGGCCCCAGCCCCAAGCGAGAGGGGGGCAGCGAGGAGTCCCGAGCGAGAGGGGGCAGCGAGGAGCCCCCAGGAGTAAAGAGGAGGGCCAAGACATAACAGGGCCCAGGTCAAGCCACGTCAGCACCATCTGCGAGGTTTGGGCTGCGGTGTAGGGGAGGAAAAGGAGCTGCAGGTAGTGCCTCCTGTCACCGGGGCGTGTTAAATGGGCAGCCTCCCACTGATTCCAACAATCTATTGATCAAGTAAGATCAAGGCATGGCAGGAAAGTAAGCAGGCGGTTGGCCCATTACAGGAGGGTGGAGCCACTCCCGGAAAGGCTCCGAGAGTGATACTCCCATCACAGTAATCCTGAGAAACTTTCTGGCATTCAAGTATTTAGGGCTAAATAGAGTATTTAGTATACTGTCAGTTGAGAAGACTTATATGTACTGTGGGATGTTTTCTGCATTTACAGCGCAACGTTAAATAATGCCTTGCACCTGCCATTCCCACTGAAATTAATGGATCAACAGAGTTGCTGTATGAGAGCTCATGTGTGGCCTAATCCAAAGGCCTGTTTCCTATTGAGTGAACAGAAAGAATCCCAGTGACTTCCATACACTTTGCATCAGGCAAAGTGATAGCTATATTCAGTATAACACAAAAACATTGAAAAACTGGGGAAGCTTTAGATAAAACAAACAAAAATAATATTGAAATACTTTAATCCACACTATTTTCCACAATTAAAATTTAAAGCAAGACATTGAAAATTTCACATAGGAAACAGAGCTGATGAGATGTCCATAATTAATCTGTTTTCTGTGTGGTATTAAATATTTTTGCAGAACTATATTGGTATATTAAAATATCTGCTGTGATTTATCACAGGTAAATTGCCTGTTTTCACCAGAGGTTTATTCTACTGGATAAACACTTCTTGCTGCAGTGTGTTTTTTGGGGGTTTTAATTTTTCACTTGGAACAGATCCATGTTTTAAGGTGGACTGTGTTTAATAGTCTACCTTAACAGTGTCTTGTACACTGAGCACTGGACCAATGAGTCTGTCAAGCAGCAAATCAGTCAGAAATTTGGAACCTACAAACCATTACTGGAGGTTGTGCGATGAAGGAAGCTACAATGGTTTGGACACATCACAAGAAGCCCGGACACCTTTGCCAACAATATAATTCAGGGTGTTGTGGAGGGAAAGAGAAACAGAGGTAGACCCAAGAAGTGCTGGGGAACCAATATCAATACTGGATAGTACTTCAAGTTATAGTACACAAAGCTAGCCAAATGCAGGGCAGAGTGGAGGAGGGTTTTTACAAAATTTAAGGTGTCTGAATTGTTGCAGTGGCCTCAGGACTGACTTGACTTGATATTTAATTGAACAATTATCTGATTAACTAAAGATTCCTGAACGATGACTTCTTTGGAACAGAAAAGAATGTATCTTTATTTATCTAGATAAATTGAATATATATTTTTAAATTTCTAATGGGGCACACTGACACTGCATGACTGAGACTCAATACTAAAAACAGATAATTTCAGCTAACCAACCTATACAGCATTACACAGAAATGTACTTCCTGAAACACATCCATCTTATGTTAAATGAAAAACTTAAAGAATGGATAATATTACACCCACACTGATAGAGATTACCAATATCTAAATGTTGTTAAATTTCAAGTAGAGTGTTCTAAAGCAGTTTATCAAACATATTACTTAGCATTTACTTCTCATTCTGATTGTCAGCATGAATCAGTGGCCCTAAACTTTAAAACATAAAATTGTTTTTGGGTGGATCCCAGGTTTGGAAAGTAGAAAAAAAAGAGAAAATTCTACATACAGAATAAAAGTGCTATGACTAGAAAGCAGTTAGGATTGGACGTAGCCCAGATTTACACCCTCTCAGAATCCAAGCTGATTTGGATCTAACATTATGAGTTGGAGCCCTCTGACCGAAATATGCTTTAAAGTCTATTACGTTAATATTTCTACTGTCATTGTCAAACAACTTGCTCTCTCTGTCAAACAAATTCATATCTCTTGTCTGTCACTGATCAGATATATCCTCCTTCTCCCATTCTGCCTTTCTCCTGTATTTCATAATACAGGCCTCCATCTTTGTACCATTTTAAATGCTTGTTATAATCCAACTCTGTTAAGTCTGTTTCACAAATGTATCACAGAATCGGGGCATAATTCAACTGTCATTAAAAGTGAAAAGAAGTCTTTCCATTGACCTCAAAGGACGTTGAATTAGGAAAGGAAAAGACATACTACTGTAGGTTATCTTCTCCATCCCTCTACCAGTCCAAAATGATTCTTTTATAACCTTCAGTTAAGTTGAAGTCTCTAGATTTGAGTGATTATTTCATATTATTTAATTGCTCAGAAGTTTACAGGTCAAATATTATTTATCTTAGGCCCCTGGCACAGGCTCATTTAAAGGTGTCATGGCATCTGAGCTCCAATCCTAACAATTGTGCCTCCTGCTGTGCCATATTTGTATAGCAGGAGGTGTGGTTTTGGGATCAGGAATCATAATCCCAGGCTCTTCAAGCACCAACAAATTGAAATCTGAATGCCCACAGCCCAGGGTGGTCTGGTACAGTCCTGGGGCTGGGGTCAGTAATTAGCAGATTGTTGGCTCCAGGGCTGACAGTCAGCTCATGGGCAGTCCTGCCCTCGGACTGCACCACAGCCAATTTAGGACCACAGTGTGGGCCCAGGGTTGGAACTGACAATAATCTGATTGACAGTCTGAGCCCTGCTGCATATTCATAGAATCAGTGAAAAGTAGGGCTAGCACGGGCCTCCATAAGTTACCTAGTCCAAACCCCTCCCTGAGGTAGGATTGTTCCTATCCAAACCATCCCACATAAATCCATAAACTAACCTCTTAATAAAATTACCATCAATCCTGATGCAACACAACCCATAACACCGTAACCTACCAGAGTCAAAGCAAGGGGACCACAGCAGCCAACATCCTGCTTCTGTAAAAGGTTGTTAATATGCACTCAAGAGATACCAGGCAGAGGGCCATGGCCCCACTACGAAGGACAGCAAAAAACCCTTGGTCCATACCAGTCTGACAATGGGGTAAAATTCCCGCCCGACCCCAAATATGGTGATTGGTCTGACCCTGAGTGGAAGGGCAAGATCCTCTAACTAGGAACTCCATAATTAAGTCCAAGCAAAAACGTTATCACACCCGTGTCAAAATCCCCACTCCAATATCATTCAATTAAAGGCACTATGCAAACTATCCATTAAAATGTCCTGCATTGTATGTAGAGCATTTTTATGGCTGATTTGCCATTTTAAGATGCCTTAAATTGGGTGCATGTGTAGCACCCTTACCTTTTCAATATTTTAACCTACGAACAGTCATTCTTACATAAAATATATTTACAAGATCAAAGCAAAACAATAATTTTAAAATCCTTCTCTGGAATGCCTCATGCTTTCTGTGGGGATAGTCACTGATATTACATGACACAAGTAATTTTTCTCTTTTCCTCAGAGATTTGTTCATTTACAGCAAGAATATGTTTCTTGAGTATTTCATTTTCTATCAGGAACTGTACGGAATTCAGTTGAATTATTCATATGCATAAGTGTTTTCAGTACTGGGTCTAGTTTCTTAGGACAGTGCATTTATTTAAACTTTTAGCAGGTTTAAGTTTTGAAGCCCCAGTAGACTTTGCTGAAACTACTGAAGAGAGTTATCCACCAATAACATGCTGGACTAAGTGACTTGAATGAAAAGGTGCAGCAGTTTAATTCACTACAAAGAACAATGTATTAAATATTAATGGTTAAATGAAGACCAAATGGCAGAGTGCTACTGTGACATGACAGATGGACTTACCATGATGCTTGCTTTTAGGTTTTTCCTATCTGTTTTTTTTCTATTGCATGACATAAATGTAAAGATATAACGTTCCCATTTTATTACATAAAAAAAAAAAAAGAAAGAAAAGAAAAAACTCTTTTAGTGAAAAGTTGTGAAATGAAAATGTTGGCTTTGGCCTGCATTTCAGAAAAGATCCTTTTCAAAGAGCAAATAGTGTTTCACAAGTTGAAAAAAGTAAGCAAACTGACAAGAGGAAACTTTGCATTACTTTTACTTTTAAATACATTTTTTAATGAAATATTTATTCTCTGACATATATTTCTTTGCTTTAAGGTTATTTGGGGTCTCTGCAATTGTCCAAACAAACTGTTCAAGTACCTGGAGGATCATAGCAGGTGAAGAAAATGTCTGGTATCACTATGTCAACCCCATTTTATTGTTGGTGATGTACTATACCCTAGCAACTCTTATTCGTCTTTGGCTACAGGAACCCATAGTAAAGGTAATTACATTTTCTGACTTCCATGTGTAAGGAAAATGAAGCCACTAAAGTACAACTTTATGAATTCTCACTACTGAATGTAAAATTCTGTTACTGACGCTTGCTCACAGTGGTATAAAATTTGAATCTGTATCTTGAGCATGCTATTTCTGATTTGAGTCCTTCAGGGTTTAGTCTTGCATCTTTTAGTGTGATTGAA